AGGACAGGGTAGCAAAAGGAGGGCAGAAATGGCTCAGGTTCTGCTTCCATCCACGTGGTTTCATGTGCCCTTAGCCAGCGTTCTAAGGGAGCTCAGTCCAGACAGTCTCTGTTCCACCCTGTGTCCCTAAGCTCAGGAGGGCCAGTGCCAGAACCAAGGAGCAAAGATTCACCCATGAGTTAGCTCCCAGAGAAAGTGGCATGTTTGGGGGACCCTGTGAGCAGAAGAGGGGCCATCCCCGGGGGAGAGGATTTTCTCTCTGGTGGGAAGGCAGGCTGGAGGGGTAACCCCTCTCCCAGGAGGGTCGTCCTGGCCACAGGTAGACTGGGGAGAGGGGAGCTGCCGGGTTGGATGCTTCTTTCTCCCTCCCAGGGATCAGCAGTGTGAACCAGCTGGGGGGGCTCTTTGTGAATGGTCGGCCTCTGCCCCTGGATACCCGGCAACAGATAGTGCGGCTGGCTGTCAGTGGGATGCGGCCCTGTGACATCTCCCGGAGCCTCAAGGTAGGATGCTGGGCCCTTCACCCAGTGATGGGGACAAGAAGCGGGGAGAGGAGGCCCTTTAAGGCAAATCCGGGGCTGGTGCAGACTGGGAGGGCCTTTGGGCTTGGGCTGCTCCCCTGAGGACTGGGATAGGGAGCTTCAGACTTCTGAAGGTGGGGCTGGACTCCACTCTGTGGCCTTGTAGCTTCTGTCCCAGGGACACTCCCCCTCTGGCCATTAGGCCTTACCTGTCTCTGCATTCACCTGATGCAGGTATCTAATGGCTGTGTAAGCAAGATCCTAGGGCGTTACTACCGCACAGGTGTCTTGGAGCCCAAGGGGATTGGGGGAAGCAAGCCACGCTTGGCCACGCCGCCGGTGGTGGCGCGAATCGCCCAGCTCAAGGGGGAGTGCCCGGCCCTCTTCGCCTGGGAGATCCAACGCCAGCTCTGTGCGGAAGGGCTTTGCACCCAGGACAAGACTCCCAGTGTAAGTGCCCTTCCCTCCCCAGAACCAGAACTGGAACCGCAGACAGGCTGTCTGGCAAGGCAGAAGTAGATCCCTTCTTATTTGGCAGTGGGGCCTCCCAGGCTGGGGGCAGGGCTCCTGGGCTCTCTTCTGACCCAGAAGTTTCTCTTCTGAAAAGTGGTGAGACAGGTGAGATGAAGAAAGTATGGGGAGTGAGAGGAGGCTGCCCTTGGAACTAAGGTGTTGGCTGGACAGAGAGAGAGAGAGAGGATGTTGGGGGAACATCCTTAGGAAGCAACCCCAGCTCTTTGCACCGTCTTCCTACTCAACACCCCACATCCTCAGGTCTCCTCCATCAACCGAGTCCTGCGGGCATTGCAGGAGGACCAGAGACCACCCTGGATACATCTCAGGTTGCCAGGTGGGTCTTGGAGCTGCCTCCAGGGATGATCACAGCCACACGTAAGCATCTTACAATTCTCACATTCCTTTCTTATTCTTTCTTGCATCACCCTCACCAGAAGACAACTGAGAGGGGCTGGCAGGGGGTCTTATTCTCTCCTGGCAGTAGAGGATGGAGGCTCAGAGGAAGGGAAGCGACTAACCCAAGGTCACTAGCTAGGTGTTGGCAGGTCCTAGAATGGAGACCAGCTCCCTAGACCCCTAGGTTCACAGGATCTGCTGAGGAGGAGGCAGGACTGGGGCTTCCACATCTCCCTGCCTCGATCACAGCCTCTCAGACCACTTTTGATGTGCTGCGGTGGTCACACAAGCCTGGACCAAACCTTGCAGCTGTCTCCCTCCAAATACTAAGCATGTGCCCACCACGATATGGAGTGAGCCCCTCACCCAGCGCCCCTGCAGCAACCCCCGAGTACAGGTGGATGTCCCAGCGGTGCAGCTCCTCTCTATAGCCACACTGCCCCGGCCCCATAGCCCCAGAGGAATCGCTGTCACAAACCCACTCCAGCTACCGTCTCCCTTTGCAGCCAGTTTGGGTCCAATTCCTCGAACTCCGCCTAGTGACTCTGAGGCTCCCCGGGGTCCCCACCCAGGAACTGGCCACCGGAATCGGACGATCTTTTCCCCAGGCCAAGCCGAGGCGCTGGAGAAAGGTGCCGGGGCTGGGTGGATGTGGGCCACGGAGGTGAGGACCCGGAGGCCTGTGGGCCACGGCTGAGCGCTGGAGGCTGCAGGTGGCCCTGCCTCCAGGAGGAGGGCAGTTCAGGGTTGTCCCAGGCGGGGTGGGAGTTGGGGGGTGTTGCTGAGGGGGCGGCAGGCCTTGCTCTTCTCCCCGTGCTCTTGCTGTGTGAGCCTCCATCTCTGCAGAATTCCAGCGTGGGCAGTACCCTGATTCAGTGGCCCGTGGGAAACTGGCTGCGGCCACCTCTCTGCCTGAGGACACGGTGAGGGTGAGTGAGCCCTGCCGCACCGCGTGCAGAGACCTTGAGGACAGAGAGTCTGGGCCAGGCAGGCTTTGGGCTCTGGTGCAGTAGAGAAGGAGGCGGGAAGATGGAGACCAGCTCGTTTGGAGCAGAAATGAGCCCCTCCATGTTCCCCTGCTACTGATTGCTCTTTCCTCCTCCCTCTCCAAGCCTTGGTGCTGAGGAAGGGGTCAGAGAGCAAAGGCCAAAGCAGGAAGCCGGGAGGTCGGGTCTGGGGAAAGTTCTGCTCTCTGAGTCCAGGTCAGGAACACGTGGGGAACAGTAGGTGCTGGGCCCTGGAGCGCACAGTCAGCTGCATGGTTTCTGCCCTCCCTCAGATCTGGTTTTCCAACCGAAGAGCCAAATGGCGCCGACAAGAGAAGCTCAAGTGGGAGATGCAGTTTCCAGGTGATTTCTCTGCCCATCCATCCACTCATCCATCCACTCACCTTTCTCTTCCTTCCTTCCTTTCTTCCCTTCCTTCCTTCTATCCATTCACATTTCTCTTCCTTCCTTCCCTTCCATTCGTCCATCTATCCATCCATCCACTCACCTTTCCCTTCCTTCCTTCTATCCATTCACCCACCTATCTTTCCATCCATCCATCCACCTATCTTTCCTTCCATCTATCCATCCACCGAACATTTACTTGGCACATCCCATGCATCACACCTTGTGTTGTATGCTGGACACACATAATCCTTGCTCTTCAGGGCTGCACAGCCCCCGATCATTCCTGGGAATTAATCCTCTTCCCCAGTCTTTTAAGACCCCGCCTTGGGGAGGAGGCAGCTTAGGGCTGTAGCATCCACCCGCTCCCACCCCTGCCGGAAGTCATTGCCTTTCCTAAAACTTCCCCTGCCTCTCACCACCACCCCCTGCTCTGCAGACCCTTGTTCCTCCTGCTGAGTAGATTCTCCCTTACCTTGTAGGTGGTTCCCAGGGTCTGACTGTACCAAGTGCTTCCCCAGGAATCTTCTTTGCACAGGTATCCAGGAGGAGGGGGAGTTTGTGAACTGGGAAGGCCAAAGGGGTCACTGCTCCTCCCATTCCCGGTGGAGGCCTGAGCTAGAATTCACGATGCCCCTGGCCCCCACAGTGCCCGCTTCCAGGGAGCGCCATCCTCATAGTCTACTGTGTGAATGGCTCCCCCTGAAGTTGTTCCAAGATACGGCCTGGGGGCGGGGGTCCTGGTTGTGCTAAACAGGAGGCATCGCTGGCAGCTGAGGGCTTCCTCTTGCTTTCCCAGCAGTCCCCCGGCCATGTGTCCACAGCAGTCCTACCTACCCTGGAATCCTTGGGTCCCTCCAGCTATCCACTGTGCTGGGGGACAGCATCTGAGGGGTGTCTGAATGACACCCCACCACAAGCCTGTCTCCAGTCCCGCTGGGGTAAGAATCCATGCCAGGCCGCAATCCTGCAGGGTGTGGGGAGGGCAAACCAACTCCTTGACCCACCGGAAGGCCCGATCTCCAGTCGGGGTCATCAATGGAACCTCAATACAGCTTTCCTCATACCTTGCATGGCCCACAGAGTTGGGGAGACTAGCACCCCTGTGTATACTGCCATTGACGGCTGTAGCAGGAAGACGGGGCGGGATTGGGGTCTGAGTATATATATCCAGGGTAAAGAGCCAACATCTGCCTCTCTCCCCATCAGTGACTTGGGGGGCTGGGGTGCCAACAAAAAGCCCGAGCTCAAACTCCCTTCATCCTTGCAGGCTACCTGCCCCCCACAGCTGAGCTCCCTGGACTCCATCCTGCTTTGCCATCCTTGCCCTTCCTTCCGCTGCCCCCATCGCCAGTCTTGGTCCCCGTCAGGCCTTGCACTGGCCTGGCTCCCCAATGCGAGGTTTGGGATGAGGGAGGAGGCTCAGTGTGGAAGGGAGATGTGGTAGGGAGGATCTGACCCCACCTGTCTGAGCAGAGCACTGCCTCTCTGCCTTCCTGTGTCCCCTCCTTGTTTGTGGGCCTTGCCCCTCTTGTGTGGCACTTGAGTGGAGAGGCTGTGCCGACCCATGTCACATTGGCCTTACGACGCTTTCAGTTGGCAGTAATAAAAACATTTTTAAAATTGGCAGTAGTTCTGTTGTCCATCGTGTTTTTAAAGTGACTACTCATAATCCCATCCCTACATTTAACAATTATAAACAGTTTGCCCTCTGTCTATCTAAATACCTATCTATGAAAATGTATATCTGGCTAGCTATCGTCTAATATACTTATGTGTTTATATACTATGTATCTAGCTACTGTCTATCCATTCAATCTAACTAATCTCTGTATATATGTATGTATCTGCATATGTATATATGTGTATCTGCCTTGGCGTTTTGGTGTTCATATACCCACATGTATGCACACACGTATGCACACATACAGATACTGATAGCACCTTATGGCCTGTCACCCCTGAGTCCTCCAGCACGCATCTCCAAAAAATAAGCGAAGTTTTCTTACATAACCGCAACACCATGACCATATCTAAGAAAACGTCTAATAATTCCTTAATCACAGAAGAGACATATGAACTCTTTAATTGCATATGTATTTTCTGCATAGTGGCAAACAGAGTGGAAATGCCCCTTTTTATATTCTGCCCATCCCTTTATACGTGCTCCTGGGGCATGTTTGCTTGCTTCTTCTTTTCTGTAAGTTCCAAATCGTCTCAATTTTGTCTCCCTAGAGAGAAATCTCCAGGCTCCTCCTGGGAAACCTAGGGATGTAAGAAAAGAGAGGGACACGGAGGAAAGTGATAGAGGGGATATTTGTAGTGAGGGGTGGGCTCATCTCTCCAAATCCCCAGATGGGGATGGAATGATGATGGTGCAAAGTGAGGGTCAGGATGGAGTTTATTTACTCCCATCTGTGACAGGTACTGGTCCAGAAGCTATCCTTCAATAAGTCTCTTTATCATCAAATACTCTAGAGCTGTGCTGCCAGTAAAAGTAGCCACCAACCACATGGGGCTATTAAAGTGATTAAAGTGAAACAAAATGAAGAATTCAGCTCCTCACTCACACTGTGTGTGTGCTCAGTCGCTTCTTTGCAACCCCATGGACTGTAGCCCACCAGGCTCCTCTGTCCATGGGATTCTCCAGGCAAGAATACTGGAGCAGGTTGCCATGTCCTCCTCCAGGAGATCTTCTGGACTCAGGGATTGAACCTGAGTCTTCTGCATCTCCTGCATTAGTAGGCAGATTCTTTACCCACTAAGTCACCTGGGAAGTAGTCACATGTGCCTGTGGCTACTGTGTTGGGCAGTAAACATTATAGAACATTTCCATCAGCACAGAGAGTTCCATGTGATAGCACAGCTCTAGCATGAAATTCCAAGGATAACAGAGCATGACCTGCCCCTGCCCTGCTTCTCTCTTCTTAAGTTGGGGCCCCACTGGACAGATGGCCCAGGGAAATGGGCAAGGCTTTGTGGGGTGACTGAAATTGTGCCATTCACTTCAGGGACCAAACTGACCTCAGCAATGAAAGCAGTTGGCAGCCGAAGCCCCATGGCTGAGCACATTCAAGCTGAGGATGGCCACTTGTGGGGAGCATAAAAGCATGCATGCACATCTCTGTGTGTGTGAGTGCGTGTGTGTGCATGCACGTGCATGTGTCCCTGGGCACATACATTCCTGTGTGTCTGACTATATGTATTTAGGGAAGGCTGAAGAAGAGATTCTGCATTAAATGACTCCCAAGGTCTTATCTCTGAAGACTGTATTCCACACCACATCTCTCCCATGTTCTTAACATTGTCTAGAAAAGGAGATGCCCTGGTCCTTAGTGTTTGCAGCCTTCTCTTACTGCATTAAAATGTTTACAAAAGTCTTTCATATTTCTTGAGGAAAAACATACTTAAAGAAACTTGACGTCACTTTCCTCTACCCAAGCAGAAACTCTCAGTTTCTGGTTTCAGTTTCTCTTCTCAATAAACTTAAAAGTCAGGCCCTGGTTGTGGGATGATGCAGTAGGGCTCAGGCTTTGAGAAGCCGTATGGATGCTGCTTTATATAATATTGAGTCAGAAATGAGCACAGATTATTCCCTTTTCCACTCCCTTTCAATTCTGATTGCATCAAAGAGAAAATTTTCATTTTGGTTCTACTCCGTAGCCCTTATGTAACGCTTGTTAATCTATTTTTTTTGAACAGGGGGAAAGGGAGCTTTAGGCTCTGAACCTTGGTCAAGGAAGGGAAATCTGACTAAAATTTATGGCATCACTTTGGTTTCATTGTATATATATATATATATTTTGTCTTCAGTGTATTCATTTTTATGGTCACTTTCTACTCATGGTTTCCCTGATAGCTCAGTTGGTAAAGAATCCACCTGCAATGCAGGAGACCCTGGTTTGATTCCTTGGTCGGGAAGATCCATTGGAGAAGGGATAGATAGTCTACCCACTCCAGTATTCTTGGACTTCCCTTGTGGCTCAGCTGGTAAAGAATCTGCCTGCAATGTGGGAGACCTGGGTTTGATCCCTGGGTTGGGAAGATCCCCTGGAGAAGGGAAAGGCTACCCACTCTAGTATTCTGGCCTGGAGAATTCCATGGACTGTAAAGTCATGGGGTCGCAAAGAGTCAGACACGCCTGAGCAACTTTCACTTCACTTCTGCTCATGGCAAGTGATTCTGGTCTTCCATTTTATGATAGTGATTAAATATCCCTTTCTAAATAAATGTACTTAAGAGCCTATGTCAAGAAAGGCATTAATGGGGCAGATGGTATGCCACTAAGGGCCAAGGTTATAAAGACAGCGCAAGAAAGACACCCATTTTGGAAGCTCTGTTTTGATGGAAAGAGTCATGGGCATCAGGGTCTACTCTAATTGAAGAATTGCATCAGAGGTCCCAGTCATGGGCAAATCACTTCAGCTTCCTATAAACGGTGGGCAGTGACGGAGAAAAAAAACCTGTTGCGTCCTACTGACAGGATCAAAAGGAAATGATAAGGTGGGATGGTGGGTAAGCTGTGGAGGGAGAGTGGGCTATATATGCATAAGCTGTCATTACAACTACCTTGTGCCTGTAGGATTAGTAATCCTTCCTTTATCCTAAACCAAAAGGACATCTAGTCATATCTGGATTGTGAATCCTTCAGGGCGAGGCTTATTCCTCATGGGATCACTGGGAAAAATCTATTGGTTCTGGAGGGGCTGGGGAGAATCAGTGGAAGAACAGGTTACCATTTGGTCTCCCCCCTTCTGGACACCACTTGGAGTGACCTGGAGTCTCAGTTGCCACCCACATTCACACCTCTACTTTCAAGTCAGATGCACACCAGGGTCTTGGGGGTGGCCGTTTGTGATGTATTGTTGCTCGAAACAGGTGCTTTGCTAAACTGGGTAGGAAAACTTGTGTTACAGATATTCTTCTCATGGATCTTGACTCTGGGGTTCCTGTTCGGTTTAGTGTAGTAGTTTCTCCTGGAAGATTTGGATTTCGGTAGGCGGCATCCTGTTGACCTGGGGAGGAAAGAGGAAATAGAAACCTTCAGGTGGTCATTTGCTGATTTCTAGCATCTAGGAAAAAACCTGGTGAGACCCAGTGAGAAGAGAGAAGATAAAGTCATTTGTTCCTTTCTTGATGAAGGGCCACAGGGACAGAGGAGAGGTTAGTTTATAGGAAAGAGCAGTAGAAGGGATTTTGAAAAATCCAATAAATGGTGCAAAATACCACAAGAATTCACAGGGAGACTACAACCAACAGGTTAGACTTCCTAAGAATTCAAACAGACTTGAAGAAGACATCTGATGGAGTGAGGATGTGCAAGGTGCCAAGTTGTTTACTAAGCATTTCACTGTCATCAGCTCATGTAACACAATAATCCCATGAGAGGCACACTATATTCCCATTTCACCTACAAGAAACAGACTTTGAGAGGTTCATTGGCCCAAGGTCAAGTAACCAGTTCTGCTAGTAAGCCTCAAATTAGAACCCAGTTCTGAGTCCAGAAATGTACTCTTAACCACTTTGATAGAGTATCTACTAGAATGTCAGGCCTGGAAAGAGTCTGAGAAATCTAGTGCAATCCAAATCCTTCATGGAATAGATAAGGAAACAACTTAGTAGGATTTCCTTTTGTTTTCCAGTTTGCCATAATTAAAGGGTTTATGTAGTGAATAGAAGATGAAGGAAAAGAGTGAATGAATATGGGGATCTCTATCTAGAGGCATACAGTCACTGAACCCTCCTACCGCCCTATGAAGCAGACATTATCCCCATTTTACAGATAAGGAAACCAAAGCCTAGAAATGTTAGAGCAATTTCCCTGGGGTTACAAAGCTAGTAAGGACTATGCCTTGCTAGTTTTGGTTCCAGGTCTATATAATATCAAAACTGAATCTCTTTCTACAACATCCTCCTGACTTCCCAAGCCAGGAAAGAGAGGATGATTGTGAAGGGACAAGGCTAAGAGTTATGAGCATGGAAAGATGGAATGGAGGCAGCATCTTAGAAAAGTGGACTTATGGTGGAGAAGAGATCAGGTGGGGCTGGGCCTGGTGGCTGGGGAGCCCTTGTTGCACTGCAGGCTCTTGGTGGAAAGCCTGCCACACAATTGTGACAGTAATTATGGTAATTACTGAGGAGCAAGCTAGGCCCAACCTAGACAGCATATTAAAAAGCAGAGACATTACTTTGCCAACAAAGGTCCGTCTAGTCAAGGCTATGGTTTTTCCAGTGGTCATGTATGGATGTGAGAGTTGGACTATAAAGAAAGCTGAGCGCCAAAGAATTGATGCTTTTGAACTGTGGTGTTAGAGAAGACTCTTGAGAGGCCCTTGGACTGCAAGGAGATCCAACCAGTCCATCCTAAAGGAGATCAGTCCTGGGTGTCCATTGGAAGGACTGATGTTGAAGCTGAAACCCCAATACTTTGACCACCTGATGCAAAGAGCTAACTCATTTGAAAAGACCCTGATGCTGGGAAGGACTGGGGGGCAGAAAGAGAAGGGGACGACAGAGGATGAAATTGTTGGATGGCATCACCGACTCAATGGACATGAGTTTGGGTAAACTCCGGGAGTTGGTGATGGACAGGGAGGCCTGGCATGCTGCGGTCCATGGGGTCGTAAAGAGTGGGACACAACTGAGTGACTGAACTGAACTGAACTGAAGCACTCAAGCGGCTCTGCCAAGGAAATACTGGAGTTTTTCAGGGTTTGGTGAAGGGAACACAAGGGAGGAAGCAGAGCTGGCGCTGGGTCTTGAGCCTGAGTGTTTGAGAGGATGGTGGTGCCCTCCATGGCCATGGGAAGGGCAGGAAGGGTTACCTTTGTAGGGGAGGGTGAGGAGGCTCATTTGGAGGAGATGGCAGGATGAAGTCAAGTCAACTATCAATCAGAAAGTTGGAAATAGATGAGGTTAGACTTCAGGAGAAGGATCAGGCTGCAGATAAATCTGGGTGCCATTAGTACCCCCCAAGGATCTGAGGTATAGGGGTAAAAAGTACCTAGGATGGAAAGGATACCCCTTAAATTTACCAGTCTTCCCTACAGAGGAGGAAAAACTCTGTCTCTTAAGGAAGAGAGACAGATACACAAGTACCCCCTCATATTGTCCCCTGCAGTCTGACTTGCAAGCACAAGAGTCAGTGTGACATAATAGTGAGAATCCTAGATCTGACTCTTCCTCTCTCCAGCAAGTCTAGGTCTAGAAGCCCCATGATAAAAGGCATGGATTTGGGATAAAGGTCTGGAGTGGATCCAGCCATGGGACAGATGCCAGCCTGGGGTGCATATTGGTCTTGCTCTCACATGCCTCTGCACCCTCCTCCCTTCTTTTGCTGCTCCTCATCAGCTCCTGCTCCCAGACCCCTGGGTCCTTACCTAAAATTCCCAAATACACTCTTTGGTAATGTCTTCGCTGTCTGCCAACAGGGTACCACTTCGGTCGGATCGCATGTAGAAACCATTGGGTGCCAGCACCGTGAGCAAGTTGCTGCCCTGAAGCTCGATACAGAAGTTGAGGGCGAACTTTCCCCAAGGCCGAAAGGTGCCGAAGGATGTTATTGACCAGAAGGATCCACCCTGTGCTGGGGAGGGAAGAGCTCAGACTGGTGGGCCATTCTGGAGTTGTGGGGGTCTCTCTCAGTACAGCCTCCGAAGGGGCTCCCAGAAGGCCCATCACCCCTCCCAGACTGCCCCACCCTGCCTGTCTTGGCAGGTCCCTCTCTAGGAACATAGGAGGCCACTGTTCTGTTCTGTTTTGTCAGCCCACTCCAGGAGCCTTGAAGTGTAAGACGGAACAGAAACTCTGTTTTTTCTCCTATGAAAAGTGGGCCCTGAGTGGCGTTCCTGAAGTCTTAGTTGAGGCTAAGACTGGGCTAGATCATGAAGCCAGGAGTGAGGAAGTGGATCTACTCACCTTGGAAGTGGTAGATGCCCTGGCGGCAGGGCAGCAGGTGAATGCAGTCTGGTTGATCCATATTGCACTGCAGGAGGTCGTGTTCTGATGAGGTACCCACATACCCATACCGACCCCGCAAGGCGAGGAAGGGGCGGTTGGCTAATCGAATCCCAAATTCCTCATTTGGGCCTGATAGAAACAGGAAGAAGTTATTTGGATGGGCTGTCTCTAGATGCTTTCCTGGATGTAAGCAGGGAGACGGGTCCTGATGGCAAAAGGGTATCATCAATATCCTAATATTTAGTGAACAGTTATCATGTGCCAGGTCTCGTGCTAGGTGCTCGTGAAATGTTTATGAAAGCACTCATTATAGCATGGAGGCTAAGAAAGTTTAATACTCTTCCTTCCTTTGAGATGAGTGAATCTATTTAGTTTTCGTGATAAACCTCTGAGGCAGACAGGTTGGCTATCACTTCTACTGATGATAGAGACAATGAAACTGAACCTCAGATAAGGGGGTTCCCCAGTGATGATGAAAAGTCAGTGACTCAGCAGGTTGTTGTTTTTGTTCAGTTGCTAAGTGGTATCTGGCTCTGCGGCCCCGTGGACTGCAGCACACCAGGTTCCCCGGTCCTTCACTGTCTCCTGGAGTTTGCTCAAATTCATGTCCCCTGAGTTGGTGATGCAGCAGGTAATACAGATCTGAATCTTCTGCCCCCAGCCGTGGTGGTCTTTCTACCATAACTGTAACTTTCTACCATAGCTTCTACCAAGCTCCCTCTGAAAGCGACTCTGACTTGGAATAACCTGGCAGGGGCTACTTCGCTTACCGGGAATGGTGGCACTGGCCATCAACAGGCCATTGGCTGCGATGCACAGGAAGCGTCCATTGGGAGACTGTAGGAGGATCTTGCCGCAATTCCAGTGCATACGAAAGAAGGTTTCACATTCCATTGGGTGCCCATCAGCCATCACTGCCCTATGGCGCCTCTGAGGAGAATGTTGGGAACAGAGAAGGGAAGCAAGGACTCAAACTGTCAGCTTTTTTCTTGTTATTTTTATTCTTAGAGTCTCCTTCCCATATTCCACCCTCTAGCTCTTTTTTTTTTTTTTAAATTCTCCCAGGGTATGCTTATGCCTTCAGATGCTTTTTTGGAAAACATGTTGTGAGCTCATCTCTCCCACTTCTCCAGTCTGTGCTGTGTCCCACATGGAGAGAAATGAACTTTGGCCTAGACTCCAAAATCATTTCAAAGTGAATCATAGACATAAAAGTGAAAGGCAACCTACAAAACATCTAGAAGAAAACACAGAACTTCTTTGCAACTTTGAGGTAGGCAATGATTTCCTACCTCAAAAAAAAAAAAAAAAAAAAGCACTAACCACTTATAAAATGGAGAAATTGGACTTCATCAAAATTAAAAACTTGGTGCTCCAAACACACTATTAATCATATGAAAAGATCAGTCATAGACTGTGAGAAAATGTTTACAATGTATAAATCTGACAAAGGACTTTATTTTGGAACACACCAAAACTCTGACAACTCAATAAAAAGACAAACAACATAATAACAAACCAGCAAAAGAGTTGATCAGACATCTCACAGAGAAGATCTACAAATGACCAATAGGCTCATGAAAAGATGCTCAAATTTATTAGTATAAGGGAAATCCAAATTAAAGCCACAATAAAGTAGGCCTTACACAATTAATTTTAGAGTGGCTAAAATTAAAAAGACAGATAAGACCTAGTGTTGGTGAGATGGAGCAATTAGAACTCTCATACATTACTAGTAAGAACATAAAGCAGTACAATGACTTTAGAAAATTGCTTGAAATTTTCTTAAGAAGTTAAATATACATTTATCATATGACCCAATAATTCCACTCCTACCTGTTTGCCTAAGATAACTGAAAGCACAGGCCCACAAAAAGGCTTGTACATGAATGTCCGTAGTAACTTTGTTTACAATGGCCCAAACTGGAAATAATTCAAGTATTCATCAATAAGTGAAGGTATAAGCAAATTATGTTTGTGTTTGTAAGTAGTGTTACAGAATACAATCCGTCAATAAAAAGAAACAAACTACTGATACATGTGACATCATGGACAAATTTCAAAAACATTATCCTGAGTGAAAGAAGCATATATACTGTAATACTGTATGATTCCATTTATATGAAATTCAAGAGAAAGCATATCTAATCTATAGTGACAGAATGCATATTGGTGGTACTGAGGAGGGCCAGAGGGGAATATCTGTGATGACAGACATATTTTCTAACTTGTGACATGGTTGCAGCATGATTGTATACATTTGTCAAAACTTATTGAATCGTACACTTAAAATGTGAGCATTTTATTATGTGTAAGTCATGCCTCAATAAAGTATTTCTAAATTTTCTTTTTTTAAAAGAGACCTGATTGGATGAAAGTGTGCCCACTGGATGAAAATGAGAGTTTATTGATAAGGGCCTCCACACTTCATCTCATCATCAGATCATCTTCCCTGAAGAAGGAAAAAGCGAGTTTAGGGAGGGAGATTTCAGGGCTTAAGGGTTCTCTTGTCCAGAAAGTCAAAGTCTCACCTGGGCTAGGTAGCAGCCATTGGCTGAACGAAGCTGCAAGGTGGGGGTCTCGTTGTCACATTCAAACTGGAACAATGACATTGGGCTTACGTGCTCAGAGGCAGCACACACCTCCACGTCTACAGAGGAAGAAGATGTCAGAAGAAGCCCGAGTCTGGCCTCAGTCTCAGTCTCAGCCCCTCCTCCACACTGAATGACTGGCATTCCCTCTGCTTTCCCTCCTCAGCCTTTCTCATCTTGGCCTGTAGTAGCCTGGAGAAGACCCAGGCCACTTCTCTTGCAAGTCTGTGACCCTACTTTAAAGCCCATCTCCATGGCATCAGAGATCCTCTGGGGACCTCAGGATCTTCCTTAATCACCAGGTTAAAAAATCCTCTCTGATCCCAAACACATTTTCCTCTTTTAAGCAACCAGCCCTCCTGCCCCCTGTGGCTGTGTTAGACCCAGCACTTGCCATAGACAACGGAGAGGAACTTCCGAGACTTGGACCTGAGGCTGACCCACGTCGGGCAGCGCTGTAGGATGAACCACTCCTCGCCTCCATGGGGACTGGAGCCCAGACTCAGGAGCAGGCGTGTGCCCTGTGGATACAGCATGCCTCCCTCCCCATCGCTCAGCGCCACAAACCCTCCAGGACGCACTTGCATGTGAAAAGCTGTCTGTGTTGAGGGTTGGGAGACCAGCCGGTCTAAGTGGGACAAGAAGGTGTGTGCAGAGGTCTCCAGGTGATAGCATCCATCTTGAAAGTGCAACAGGAAGCCGCATTCCTCCAGACAGGGAATTGGTGCGTCGACCCAGACTCGGCCCATGGTAGGGTCAGCCCGGGCATAGCAGTGGTTGAGGGGGCTGAAGAGGATCACGTGGACGTGCAGGGCTGGCCGGGGAGTCCACATGTGGTAAGCTGAGAGAACCCGGGAGGTACAGAAAACATCCTCGCCATCGGATTCCAGGTAGCGACCACTGATGATGCACTGGAGGGTCCATTGACCATTGCGGTGGAAACGGATGAGGAAGCACCCATGATGGCTTGTCCTTGGCCGCCCGTAGCACAGAGAACCGTCTGCCTCACACAGAAGGTAGAGACCCTGCAAGCTTCTTAGTCGTACCACAGCCTGTGTGTCATGCTGATTGCTCACTAGGATCTCCCAGGTCTGGAGGCATCGGGAGGAAGAGGGAAATTAGTCCTGCAAAGAGGCTAGACCGAGGAGCCCTCTATCCATCATCCCTGGCATCGCTCCAGGACCTTCACTGAGATCAACCACCTTCCCTCCATGTAGGCCTCCTAACTGTCCTCGTTTCTACTCTCTCGTCCAGTGGTAATCAAAAGATCTTAGGACACTTCCACCACTGGAGCCACAGGGCTTCTCAAGATCCCAAGAGACACTGTAGGTACCCCACTTCCTCCAGGTAATGGAAGGTAAAACACCCTCTCTCTTTCTTGATCACTTCCTTAAATATCTAATTTTCCAATAAAAGCTTTGGGTTAAGTCTTTCTTCTGTCTTTTCTCACTATTTCCCCTGGACAGCACAATCAGCCAACACATCCACCCACCAGAACCACTTCTCCAACACAGCAGGAGAAAAGCAAGACCTCTGACAGGCAAGCCATGGGTTCCAGGGGTGAGGATGGAAGCACAGACAGTCAAGATGCAATTATCTGTTTCAGCTGTGATCAGCTTTGTTACAAGCAAGAGGAACTTGTTACTGCCTCTCTCTCTAGCACCATCCCAGAGGTGCCTACAGCACTCTCTAAAATGAGACCCAACTCTCCAGTGGCTTCTAGAGTACCCCATTCTCAAATTATAACCAAGATATAGAACTTGCAGTAACTCCACTGGTGCAACCTCCCCGGACGCCTACAATCCTGCCTTCTAGCTTGGGCTCTCCTCCTCTCCTTTTGGTGATAACACAACTCTTCTGTGCTGGGATAGAGGATGGGGAGCAGCCAGAGCAAGACAAGGTAGCAGAGCCAGGGCTGAGGCTTCACCACATGGGACAGGCTTAGAGACAGGGAGATGGAGCAATGGAGGCCTGTGAGCAAAAGCTAGGCTTGCCCTCACAATGGCAGAGGCTAGAAAAGTGATTAGGTTGAAAATATATCCACGCGTGCATACACACAGACACACACACAGCTTGGCTACCAGGAAAAAGGGTTCCAGTGCAGGTTTGCTCTGTTACCTGTCTCCGGCCCAAGCCCTTTGCCGTAGCCGTGACCGTATTCTTATATGGTTCATAAGTGAGGTAGGATCCTGCCCAGCTGATGAGCCCAACCCTTAGGTCCTCCGCCCTGGGTTGTCTCGGCGTCCACTCCACCTCCTCCATGGGGCCAGCCCCACAGGTGATGACTCAGTCCGGCCCAGCCTTCCCCCCAGTGGTGAGGTTCCACAGGCCATAGGGCCTGGAATCAGGCCCTTAGTACCCACCGGAAGATGTTCCCAGAGTGAACTTCTCAGGCAGAGGCTGGCCCAGGGCCCAGCGCCTCTGTGACCCGGGAGCATTGTGACTATGGGGGCTGCCCCTTGTCCCACCATAGAGGGGAAAGGGCACTGACCCAGCAGCATCAATCCAGAGGAAGTGGGTCCAGAGCCTCTGGCACTCGCCTCCCTGTATTCCTCCAGGCATCAAGGTAGCTCAGTCTGGGAATCAGAACTCAGCCTGGGCCAACAACCACGTGTGATTTCAGGCAAGTCTCTCCCCTCTTCACATTAAAATGTGCCTCATTTTAATCACAGGATAGAAATCAACCTCTCTCCTTTGTAGGAAGTGGATTCTGCCTGGCTCCCTTGGGGCTCCAATGTGTTTAGAATTCAAGATATCCAAAAAAAAATCTATTAACTTTTACGGCTCTTGGGTGGATGAGGCCGAATGGTCTCAGGAGATACTTTTCAGCGAGTGTAAGGAAACCCTAGATACTCATCAAGGGTCAGATTACTCATGCTCATCAGAATGGGCTGGCTTGGGGGCAGGGTAAGGAGAATGGCCCAGGATGGGATGGGCACAGGGCACCCTCCTCAGTCCCCAAGGGCACTGCTGCTGGCAGCCAGCCAGGTCGCCCCTAAAGATACCAGCCCTTCCCTCACCAGTCTCCGCTGATCAGGAGCCTCCAGAACCCACTGCCTCTAAAGCTCCTGGAGAAAACAAGTCCAGCACCTGGAGAAACCGACAACATGAAATAAGAAGGGAGAAAGGTCAAAAGAAACAGTGGTGGTGATGGTGGGTCTGAGCTTTGCTGGCATGCAAAGGGAAAAAGGCAGTGAACCACACTTGGAGAATGCTCCACACACTTGGTCCTGTACACGTTATCTTCCTGTTCCCTGTAGGTGGAATCTCCCCAGGTAGAAAGGGCTGCAGTGGTGCACAGTAGGGGACTATAATCCCCGTGCCCTGTGTGCATGCTAAGTCACTTTAGTCCTGACTGACTCTTTGCGATGCTATGGACCATAGCCCACCAGGCTCCTCTGTCCATGGTGATTCTCCAGGCAAGAATACTGGAGTGGGCTGCTAAGCCCTCCTCTAGGGGATCTTCCTGTCCCAGGGATGGGATCCATGTCTCTTACATCTCCTGCACTGGCGGGTGGGTTCTTTACCACTAGTGCCACCTGGGAAGCCCTCCCCAGACCCTGCCTGCATTTAGTGACTCAGTCCTGTCCTACTGTTTGTGACCCATGGACTGTAGCCTGCCAGGCTCCTCTGTTCATGGGGGTCCTCCAGGCAAGAGTAATGGAGTGGGTTGCCATGCCCTCCTCCAGGGGATCTTCCCAACCCAGGGATCGAATCCAGGCCTCCCGTATTGCAGGTGGATTCTTTACCATCTGAGCCACCAAGGAAGCCCTACCAAGGTTTTATAAAATAAGGCCAATAGACTGTGAGTGACAGAATCACCTGGCTAGTTTTAGAGATGCAGATTCTTGGGTCTCAGACCAGTTCTAAAGAATCATTTTCAGAAGTGTGCCTCAGGGCCCTTATTCTTAATATTCTCCCTGCCTCAAGTTTCAATGTGCATAGTCATCATTAAGCACTGCTCTAAGCAGCTGGGAGGTGGATGGGAAATGGGAGTCAGGTGGTTTACCAACCCATGAAGATAGAGCCTGTTACCAGCAGCAAAGGCCCCATGGAATTGGGGAAGGAATGGAATTTCCTCCACTGGAGGCCCTAAATACTTCTAGTCTTGAGAGTAAGGAGGGAGAAGCTGAGCTAGATGAGGGTAAGGTCGAGTGTGCGCTTGGGTAAGAGGCTGGCTTGGCAGCCTTAGCTGCTTTGTCATGGCTGCCATTTAGTCTCTCAGTCATGTCTGACTCTCGAGACCCCATGGCCTGCAGCCCGCCAGACTCCTCTGTTCACGGGATTTCACAGGCCAGAAAACTGGAGTGGGTTGCCATGTCCTCCCTCCAGGGGATCTTCCCGACCCAGGGACTGAACCTGTGTCTCCTGCGTTGGCGGGTGGATTCTTTACCGCTGAGCCACCAGGGAAGCCCTAGCAACTTTGAGCCCTGCCCCTGCCATGACCATATTATCTTTGCAGCCAGTAACCCAGCCCCCCACTTGCAGGCTACAAACAACACAGAGTACAAACCACAGCAAATTTATTACTCAATATCCAGTGCCGCATCATAGCACCACCCGGAGCCCTCACCTCCCCTCCCCACCTGGCCCAAAGGGTACAACTGAAATGGAAGAAAAAAACTAAACCCAGATCCCTGCTCCTCCTCTGGAAGAAGGGGCCTTGGCCCTGGAAACCCCTTTCCACAGGTCCCAGCGGGCAGGAGATCAGATCCCTCCATGCCCAGAGAGCGGGGCTCCAGGCTCCCAAAAGAGAGAGAACATGCAGGCAGGAGCAGTGGCCTGTGTCTGCGGGGGAGGAGGAGCTGGGAGGGAAGGGCACTGCCTGAGGAGTCCGGGAGTCTGGTCCTCCCGGGATGATGCACGCGGGAGCTTCCGGGCAGCAGGGGCCGGCCCCTGGCTGGCTAGCGCTTCGACAGCTCATGGGACAGCCAGTCCAGCCCGTCGTACAAGCCTGTGCCTTGGGTGGCACAGGTGGCTTGGACGTACCACTGCGGGAAGGGGGAAAGAAAGAGGTCAGCAGCAGGGAAAAAAAGGAGATGCCTTTGTCTCCTGCCAGGCCTGGGGCTTCCTGGGGCCAGGCGGGCCCTCACCGTGCGGCTTCGCAAGTGCTGTAGCCCCAGCTTGTCGGTCAGCTCGCTCACGGGCATGGCGTTGGGCATGTCCTGCTTGTTGGCAAACACCAGCAGCACCGCATCCCGCAGTTCGTCCTCCTGCAGCTGGGGGAGGTGAAGGGGGTGGGTGGAACGCAGCTGCGCATGGGAGCCCCCACCCCCCTTCTACTTTCTAGCATATTTGTGGGAAAAACAGAATACTGTGTCATCTACTGAACACAAGACAGTTACCAACTGCTTAAGGCCATTTTGGCCTTAAGTCCAGCAAGCGTCTTTTTCTAATTAGACTACTTGCCCTAGTCAAAATGACATTTCCAAATGGCTAAATAAGAACTTAAGAGGATGCTTCCCTCCACCTGGTATAACTCCCCCCTCCCCACTTAACTTCTCAGACTCAGCTGTGAAGACAGGAGAGAAAATTCAAGGAAAAAGTCAGTCTTATACTTTCTACCTGACCCCGATTCAAAACAGGGGGAGTTATTTCTAGTAACTGTGCCCACAAAGAGAAAGGCACGTTCGCGGCCCGTGAGGCACTTTCTGAGTCTCACACCGGGGCAGAGACTTCTCTTCCCCGCGGCTCTGGGTGCTCACCATCTTCTGGAGTTCGTCAGCAGATTCCTGGACGCGCTCTCGGTCATTACTGTCCACCACGAAGATGAGGCCCTGGGTGCAAAGGAAGACAGGAAGGAGGAGCTATCTCCGGAGTCTGGGACACACACATCCTCCTCTGGACCCTTTGCTCTTCTGCCCGTCTTTAATTGTGTCGAAAGCCTGCTCATCTAGTAAACTTCCATAACGATCTGCAGACATTCTAGCACAAACTGGAGACACCCTGCAACGGATGCAGCCTCTGCCCTCAGGCAAGCGGTCTAGCAAAAAGATGTGCAGGGAACAGGGAAAGACGTGATGAGCTCTAAATCAGGCAGCTTGGATTCAGAACTCTGTTTCTAGGGAGAAGCAGAAGGTGGCTGGCTAAGTCTCAGAAGTATAAGGGCAATCTCAAGGATGAGGAGAGGCTCGCCTACAAATGAGGGTGAGCGGCTGTAAGGGTTTTTTCCTGGCTCAGGGCCAACACCTCAGCCTCCTAACCCTAACACCTCTTCTCCTGGGGGTGGGGTAGCCCCAACCTGAGTGTTCTGGAAGTAGTGCCGCCACAGAGGCCGAATCTTGTCCTGGCCTCCCACGTCCCAGACTGTGAAACAGATGTTCTTGTATTCCACTGTTTCCACATTGAAGCCTGCAGATAATTGTACAACATATGAGGCAAAAGTACTGAAAGGAAGGAACTCATTAACACTAAGTGGATTCAGGAGGGACACAAAACCAGAAGGCAACGATCGAGGCCCCAGGGAAAAGAACCCCAAGAGGCCCGACAGTCCACAGACCGGGCGGCGCTAGGTCACATCCATCCCGCACATAGAGATACCCTGACCCACTTCTCAGGTAGCAGGATCCTATGTCAGAGTCAGTTCTCGGCAGATAAAGGCCTGGGGCAGAATACGGAGCAGATCCTCGGAGGGGCCCCCAACGCGCTCCCGCTCCTCCCGGCCTCGCCTCCAAACTCACCTATGGTGGGAATGGTGGTGACAATCTCCCCCAACTTCAGCTTGTAGAGGATTGTGGTCTTTCCAGCCGCATCCAAGCCAACTGCAACGGAGAGGGGCACAGGGATGGAGATGAGAGCGAGGGAGCCCCCTAGAGCCCAGGGAAAGGGAGAGGCCAAGACAGCCGATGCTGACGGGGGCGGAGAGCCCGGGCGCCTCCAGGTGCGCGCTGTTCTCTACCTTCGGGGCCTTGAGGGCTGTCGGGGTGGGGAGCGGCAACTCCTGCCCCCAGAGCGGGCTAGGGGCGGCGGAGGACTGAGGGGAAAGAGGTGCAAGAGAAAGGCCGAGCGCTCCTTTTAAAAGTCGTCTCCAAGGGCGGGGAATCCTCCCTTCTTACCAGCCGGGCTGGGGCGCAGGGAGCTTCACCCCACCCAGGCCCGCAGCTCCGGGTGTCAGGCCCCGGGGGCGGTGCTGCAGACCGCGATCCACCCGGGCAGTGCCCCCCAGGGGTTAGGACATGGGTGACTCGGGGTCGGAGACACGGGTGAGCGGGGGCTGGAGGGACGCGGGGGCGGCAGGGCTGCGCAGGGGCCGGCGCTCGCGTCCGGGCCGCGAGCTTGGTCTGCCTCACCCATGAGGATCCGCATCTGCTTCTTCCCGAAGATCCGCGAAAAGAGCGCGGACACGGTGAGGCCCATGGCGGGGCCGGGGGAGGGGGCGCGGGCACCGACGCGGGGTGCGGGCTGGAACC